GAAAAAAGAGAAAAAATATGACACTCGTCTAATTAGCTCAAGTCTTCATCACATTAATTTTGCAAAAATGCTATTTGTACATGCCGTCTTACACAGGCATTTACACGCCGAGTTTATTTTATCTGTGTACAAATTGATTTTCATTTTAGTAAAGAGAACTGTATGTGATCCCGAAAAAACGAATTGTCTATGCACAGACAGTTCGAGGTCACAGACAATTCTCATTACTAAAATGAAAATCAATTGTTTGTGAAGACAAAATACATTTGACATGTAAATTGACGTGTAAATCGGCGTGTAAAAGTAACATCTTTTTTGTTCCTTTGCAATTCTCAATATGTGTATTCTTGAGGTTTATTCCTTCAACCCGAGAACCCAACACGTTTACCTAGGGTTTTGAGTGGAGAGTTTAGAGAATATGAGTTGCAAGCAGTAAGTTGGGTCAAGGTATCCGTAGCAAGTGGGTCATATCTTATTAAGTGATTATGGGTTCATATACAACACACTTCAACTACCTGGCCAGAGGCCGTTCGTCTATCTTAGTAAGAAGAGCTAAGATAATTGCTAAATGTTAAGGATAATAAGTTGTCAATCCTCTACAATGAAATACGCCGTAAATGCTACTCCAAGGGGTAGGTAATACTGATGACGTGGAGGGTCATGGATGACTAACTTCATAACCACCAAATCTAACGCATTGAATGCGCCTCCCGCCAATATCTTGGTTTCTCGCCAAGGTTTGAGGACAATCGTCTTCAGGATCTCGGGCTCTTTGCTTTGGTGGCCCAAGGGCTAGATTCCGTACGTCCTCAGCAGGCCATCTGGCCATGGGCGCTAGATTGTCATTTGGCACTTTGATGGTTCAGACGAACATCTTGCGGTACTCCCCCCATAGCCGTGTAGTCTGAAGACGAGTGTCTTGGGCCTTCCTCTTGTTGGACCCTGAAGATCTTCGTTACGGGAATAATGGGCCGACCCCTAATTTGGTCATTAACCCAACATGTACATATAGTGTTGAAATCTGATCATCTCTACTACATGCTCATTTTTTGATAAGTTGACAAAAAATGAGCTATATAATACCACAACCTTTTTAAATTATCAATATTATCAGAGCAGCTTTCATTTTTATCCAATTATAAAAGAGCTCTTTTCTTTTTTTACCAATTGGGTAATTTAGGAAAGGATATACTAAAGATGTTTTTACTTGTATTGAATTTTCTGGTGTCTTGTTTGACCTAAATTTGTTTGAATTGATTTGGTAATGTCTGATATTTATGTGTTTTATAATTGTTTAAGTCTGATTTGGTCTAGTCTGATTTAATGTGATTTAATCTCATTTAAGTAAAAAAATCCTAGAGGTGTTTTTCTTATTTTCGGCTATCTTCTCTGTCTAAAACCCTACTCGAAAGCAAGCCATATTTTGCTCAGCACTTCAATTCGACCCGAAATCAAGAAATTTCGTTCTCTCTCTTCTGTCCCAGAAAATGGCATTTTCCTCAGCTTTCCGAGGTTTTTTTGGGGGATGTTTGGCACCTTCATCAAATCTTGTATCCCAATTCGCTTCAGTTCGACTCTGTTCCACCCTTACTACTTCAAAGCTCTTCGTCAGTGGTAAATGCCTCAAAATCATGTCCAAACGCACGGGTTTAGAAGTCCTTATAAGATATGATATTGTATCTTTTGTAATTCAATTGAATGGTTTTTTGCTTCAGAAATAGTTCTCCAGGCCTAAATTTTACTCCATATTATTATTTTTCTGAAATGCTGCTCCCTATGTTGGCTGCTGTTAGGTTCGTTTTGTTCATCGCTCTAGTGACTATAGTTATGGTTAAGAATTGTGGCCTGTTTAGACTGTGATTTTTTTTAATTTCATATGAATCTTAAAGCCCTTTAAAGGTAAGGGGATGGATCTTTTTTAAACCAAAACAAACAGACTCGGTATATCATACTTAGAGGGAGAGTGTTAGAGGGTAAGATTTAAGCAGACCTAACGCCTTTCCCTTAATGTAGAGAGACCTCTCAAAATGACTTTCAGTAAGTAGTGAATGGCAAGTAGTGAATGGCAGTGATGCAATGTGCAAAAAAAAAAAAGGTAAGAAAGTAAACAAATGATCACGCGAAAAATGGCTAAGAGAGGCACAGGCTCCAACATCAAACATCTTTTGGAGCCTACAAGAACTCCACAACCTTAAATCATCGTATTTACATACCCCTGTTGGAGATCGTGTCCTTGGGGAGGTCTAAGACCACCATGTCCAGCCTTTGCTGCTCATCTCAATTCTCAAGTTCTCATTGTTCTGCCTCTCCTTCCCACACTATAGATAAAAAAAACTCATAGGTACTGCTGCATCTCTCAGACAGACATGGCCAAACCGCCAAACTACTAAGTCGTTTCTCTCTTACTTTCTCAAATTATAGGCTCGATATTTGTAGTCTGTCAAACCAGATGTCCAGTACAATATTCATCTCCACCGCTTTCGCTCATGTAACATTCTTTTAAATCTCAGTGAGACATTCATGTCGCTCTACACTCTAGTTAAACCCTCTATTTTATTAGTCATCCTTAATACAGTATGCGACATCATTGTCGATCTCTCCCTCCGTGTAGATGATTGAATTCAAATACTTACAACTTTGATTTTAGAAGTTTTCTTTGCTTCCCACTTCGGACTTCTACTCATTTCTCAGTGTTTCTCAGCAAAGTTGCCCTAGAGATACTTAGCATTTTGGGGCTAATATGCTTTCAGTGGCCTAATCCTACCCTGCACTACTCTAGCTTCGAGTTCATCCCTTAAGTCATTTTCAGTCACCTGTGTAGTGTCATCAGTACAAAACTCACTTCAGTTAGCTCTCCCCATCATCTTTAGTGTACCCTTAGCTTCCTACTTGTTAATATTTTATCACAGTATGCTCCTAGTTCATAATAGCACCAAGAAACCTCCGTTACTATATCTAATTGAAGCTATAAACTGTCTTGAAAAAAGGTCAGCTAAAATAAAATATAATTTTCCTTGAAGAAAAAAGTTTGCTGGAAACCTGGAATAGATTAAGCAAGAAACGTGTTCCGTATTAACTGTCCCCCCGTTCATTGGACATTGGGTGTGGATAATTATCAGTTTTGGCACTATGGAAGCATATAACAACCGTACAGAACACCATACCCCTTAATGACGATGTAACAATTGAAATTTGTTTCAGTCCCATGCAATTGTACTGAATATTGACTGACCATTTCTTCGGCACCAATGAGGCAGGCCTCGCAAGATTCACTTCAGATGAAGGCCTTAGGAAAGCATTTGAGCAATTTGGGAATCTTGTTGAAGGTAATGAAATTTTTGATTTTTTTTTTTTTTTGCCAACTTCCATTTAGTCAATGCAACCCTTGGTTCTTTTTTGCAGCAAAAGTGATTACTGATAGAGCCACAGGGAGATCGAAGGGGTTTGGATTTGTCACCTATGAGACAATTGAAGAAGCTCAAAAAGCTCGTGAAGAAATGAATGCAAAGTACTTGGATGGATGGGTAATTTTTGTTGATCCTGCCAAGCCAAGGGAGGTTAGGCCTCCACCATCGCAGGCGGAGGAGTCAGATACGACAAGTTTCGGTATCAGGAGCAACAAGACTATTGGTTGGTCTGGTTGACTTGAGGAGGACAGACTTCTGCTTCAACATTCTTCCTGTCTCTACAATGCTTTGTTTGCTAAATATTATAGTTTCAAGCATTCTTTTGGGCATGCGTTGGGTTTCGGTGAAAGTGTACGTTGAGAATACTCTTTAGATTAAGATTTATGCAGCCAAGGAATCTTATCATCGTGGAACAGCGGAAGGCCATTGACATGATGAAAATATTTAAAACGAGTAATATTAAATTCTTCTTTTAGTACCATGTTTTGAGTTATACTTGCTGAGAATCAATTAAAAAAGCGGGTCAATTGAGAAGCTTTCGCATCATCTTTTATTTATACATTTTGGCGCTGCATGACAGCAAGTCTGACCTAAATTGTAGAAGGGCCTTGCTAATGATTATAACTATACCTTTTGGAATAAGAATATCCCACAATTTTAATTAGGAATTACTTTTGTTTTCACGATAAGCTGTCTGCTACCAGGATTATTATTTTCTGAGAATCAAGGCTAATTCTAAACTTTGGATGAACCTAATATGGAAAAGATATATTCCCCCCAAATAGTCCTTTATATTATGGATGGGGCTGATAAATGGGCTGCCTATTTTTGATAATCTCATGTACATTGACATGGAGGACTTGTTGCCTAGGTAGCACGGAAACTCTCGGGAAAGAGTACGTTTCCCGTTTCGGAAACTCTCGGAAACTCTTTGGAAACTCTCCAAATAAGCCTTTTTTGAGCAAAAGTTGACGTTTCCCGTTTCCCGTTTCCTCATGATTTTCGCGTTTCCGTGCAACTTAGCTTGTTGCTTCTGCATTTCCCATTTAGATTCTGCTTCCCATCTTTTCTTTTTATGCCCCTTTACTAGCCTGTTTGGAAAGAAGTGAGATGTTGGTTGAACTAGAAGTAACCCAACAATTCTTTTGAGTACAGTAAAAATATGCATTAAAGATTATGGTGGTGCAAGGTTAAAATGCAAAACTGTAAGGATTGTCTTTTGTTGCACTGTTTATATTGTTTGGAAAGATAGAAACAAAACCATTTTACGCATAAATGAGTGATTATACCAAAGTTTTTTTTGCAGACCAAAGTGGCAGGACTATTGCATTCTTTTCAAGCTATATCCAACATGTATGAGATTTAAGTTTGCTTTTGAAACTGCTGTGCCTTTCATATTTTGCCTTGTCGTTTCAGTTTTTTATTTGTCTGAGCAATTGTTGCTGTACTGCTTTAGTTGATCTGGGGCATGCCTCATTGCCCTTTGTATACATCGGTTTTGTTATCCTTCAATATGTTTTACATTTAATCAAAAAAATAGACGTGTTATTCTTTATCAAACCTTGAAATTGAAACATGAAATGAAATGCGATTAGAAAATTGCATCTGTGCGTGTGTCTGTGTGTGTGGTATGGGCTGATTACTGTGAACTTGGAATTTCTCATATTCGAATAAGCAGAACATTAATGTGAAGTTACATTATTCAGAGCATCAAAATCTTATTAATTTAAATGGAAAATGTAGGATAGGATGCTGCTTGCGGCATTGTTCCAGTGATCCAGTAGCAACTGGCTACCAAAATCTTCTATTGGCCAATGCACTCTGCCTTAAACGGAGGATTCGAGTTCATTTCTATGATCACCAGGTGATGCTGTAAGAATCTCAGACATGAACTTTATAAAGGAGCAAAGCCCCCCCAGAAAATTGTGATCGATTATCCCATCGCTGCCTTCCACAACATGAGCGAAATCAATCAGCTTAACAGCCGGGCTTTTTCCTTTCTCCTCGTACATCAAAAGAACTGAGCAAGAATAGAAATGGAAAATGGTCTGATCCTCAAACCAAGCTTTCAGCTCCAGCAACTGTGACAAAATCCCGCCGGAGCCACCATAAACCATTGATGCAAAGGAGCAATCTGGCTTCCAATCCATGCCATCTGAAATGTTTGAAGAAACAAACTTCTTTAGAGCTAACCTAACTTCTTCCGCAGAATATTTCTGAACATATTTCCTTTCGGGCTTCCAATACTCAGTTTCTTTGCTGCCGTATACTTGCAACCCCGACAGCCTGAAACCTAAGGTGAGGCTACTTGTTTCTCTATCCTTTTTCAAGCATTTCTGAATGTAGTCCTCCGATTCCTGCGGAGGCCACGTCCTCGAACCGATCTTTATGTCCATTATTGACGGGCTGGATAGACCCAAGGTGAGATCTTCCAAGACTAGATGGGGCAGCAAGCCGGAGCCGTCGGACGCCTCCAGTAGCTTGGTGCCATAAAATTTAGGGAAGAACCGGCAGATGTGAGTTGGGATGTCAGGGTTTGAAGAAAAGGATGTATAGAATGCAACCTCATGGGACCCGCGGCCTCCACCCTGGAAAGGCTTGTAGAAGAGCCCAGAATCATCTACAAGGGGTCCAAGGTTCCCATTTAGGGCTTGATGTCCTGCAACTTGATGTTTGGGCACCTTAAGCATGTTTGCAGATGGAGAAAGGCTTCACCGGATCTCTTGATTACACAAAGACCAGAGTAGTGGTTGGAGAGACTTGCTGACTTGAAATTTGATCAGGGACGGCTTGAGCAATATGGCGGACGGCCCTAGACAAAAAACATTTATATTTACAGATCATATTAATGTAATTTATATAACATAACAACGAGATAAGTTTAATAAAAATACACCAGAAACAAAGCATATTCACCATATAAAATGGCTTCAAAAGAATAAGTTTTCAAATATCATGATATGCAAAATATACAGCAAGTCAGTAACTTGTACATCTTATTACTCTATTGGCATACTTTTCTTGATTTTTGAAGTGCAAATAAATAAGAACACAAAATTATTTCGTGTATTTATCATAATAATGCCAATATATCAAATTAGTTAAATTTCCAATCCAGAACACCCCAATAAGCAATATGATAATACGAACCCAATAATAATTTATAAATTGTTTCATATTACGGATTTAGGACAAACCTTTATTCCAGTATTCCTTCACAGTAGCATTTGAAGATCAGCATAAGCAGGAGGCTTCACCGCTTCACTCCTTTAATTCTCTTTAGACAAGCAGAAGCAACTCAAGTAAAGGAAAGCATCAAAAGGGCCTTTTAATTACAACCAAGCTTGAAACATATCAGGTTATAAGGGAAAACAATCAACAAGAAATTACAAACCTATGGAGATGTATGACCCAAAAATACGCACAAAGTAATGAGCAACGAGAGAAATGAAGCGTAGAGTCAAACGAAATGGTGAACAGCAGAAGGCGGCGGCGGACAGCAATTTTGCACTTACTGGTCGGCGTCGATGCCCCGGAGAAGTCGTTAGAAGACGGTAGCGGTGGGCGGAATGGTTGTTTTCCTGTTCGAGTTTGAGGCAATAAGGCAATGCCGATTTGAGGAATATCTTTTTTAATTTTTGAGATGACAACAGCTATTTTAAAAGAGTGAACTGATCGGTTTGAATTATTATTCTTGTACCATGGGATGGGAATCCTATTCTATGGCAAAGCTCACACAGATGTAAAAGGAATGAGAATCCTATTGTATGGCAAGTTCCAAATAAATAATACATTTCTCTATATGAAAATCCATCCAATTTGTGTTCTATATGAAGACTTCTGAATTCATCAAATTTGTGGATCTTCGGAGAGAGATTGAGATCTTATGCAACTTTTAAGAATAAAACAACAACATCCAAGCCTAAATCCCAAAAAATTTTGGGGTCGATATCGATGCCAAACAGAGAAGACAGACCAGAAGAAGAAAATCGATCCCAAAACTTTTAAGAATTAAAAACAATAAATATTCTCATTTCTCTCATCTACTCATGATTCGCTTGTTACCTCAAAAACAAATCTAGGCCCCGAGGGCTTATAAATCTATGGAACATATTCCCTCCATTCCATTCAACATCCGTTTTGACTTTGTTGAATATTACGGAGTACTAACAAACAGGGGCGTAGCCAGAACGGATGTCTACACTGGGCCGACTTTACACTAAAAACATTATATAAAATTTTTAAAAGTGACAATATTGAGAGCATAACGATTAAAATTCATTTAAATTCATAGTAATATTTTGAAACAATACATACAATGTTTGAAACTAAAACGTTAATTGAACACGACACTCTTTGACCTTAGCAAACTCATTTATAACTAAAACGCTCTTTGACTTATTATGAGGTGATGAAGATGATGTATCAAGATGCGTAAGAAACACACATTCTTTACCATTATAGACTCGTTTCCAACCAAATAAATTCTTTGAACCAAGTGTCTTGAAAACGACGTATCTTATCTTTGTATTCTCGACCTTTGTAAAAGTTAAGTTTCGGTTGATAAGGTCCAAGTACCAAATAAGATCGTCTAATTTCATCCCTTTTCTCTAGCATTCAATCAGTTATCGTTTTTCATTTACCCGGATCCTGCTAAATTACAAGTGCATCGGAAACTAGGCTTATAAAACGAACGCAATGTGATTTTTACCTTTTTGGAAGTAGATTGAGTAGCCATACCTATTCAACTTAGCAAAAAAATTGAAAACTATCAATATTCTATTTTAATTCATATAATTGAGTATTAATATTTTAAAAAATTCACAAATAGCATTTGACATTCCTAAATTTTCATTTCACAATTCAAAGCACACAAATCAATTGTGACACACTAACTCACTAACACAATTACACAAACTAAAATACTGTAACAAATAAAATACTTAAATGAAAATAAAAATTGTAAAAACAAAAAACAAAAAACAAAAAACAAGTTGAAACCCTTACCTTGGCACTTGGCAGCTTGGCTGTGAGCCTGTGGCGAGTCTGGACTCCTCCAGAGAAGCAGGCAGCAGCCGACGAGCAGCGGAGGGTGGGCGTCCGGCCTCCGGTGATGAGAACGGCGAAGAGGGTGAGCGGCGGTTCGGCGGCGTCCGGCCTCCGGTGATGAGAACGGCGAAGAGGGTGAGCGGCGGTTCGGCGGCGTCCGGCCTCCGGTGATGAGAACGGCGAAGAGGGTGAGCGGCGGTTCGGCGGCGTCCGGCAAATCGTTGGAGCGAGTATGGCTGCCTTCCTGACTTCCGAGACCTGAGTTCTGAGACTTGGGATGTTTTTACTTGGACTGTAATTTGCTGGTCTGGTCTGGTCTGGTCTGGTCTGATCTGGTCTGGTCTGGTCTGAACTGGTCTGGTCTGGTCTGGTAAGGTCTGGTTTCTTTGTATTTTTATAACTATCCAAGTCTGGTCTGGTCTGGTCTGGTCTGAACTGGTCTGATCTGGTCTGGACTGGTCTGGTCTGGTCTGGTCTGGGGCAAATTACAGTCCAAGTAAAAACATCCTTGCTTGACAGCTTGAATGCTTGAGTTCGTATGCTTCAGTTCTATTAGAATAGAACTGAACCGCTTGTTTGCACTGGGTCTGTTTTTTTTTTTTTTTTTGCACTGGGCCAAATTCTAAAAAATAGGGAAAATTTCAGAAATAGGCTAAAACGTGGAAATTATATCACTTTTGTCTCCTTCTAGTTTTCCTTTCAAAAATAGACAGGGCGGACATTTTCTTTTCATAAATGGACTGCTCCCAGCCTCCCATAGTCCCATACGTATGCTTCATTTCCTCCCGGTTTCCCACTTTGGTGAACATTCTAGGTGGTGGACTGCTGGTATCCCATATAACATGCAAGCCACTTTTTATTAAAATTATAAAAATAATAAAAATTCAAAAAGATTACGGAGTATATTACATAGAAATAAATAAAATTATAAAAAAATTAAATTATACTTGTATTAAAATATAAATAAAAACTCAAAGTCAAGAAAAAAAAAGCGTTATAAAAGTTCAAAGTTGAAAACTAGTAAATTATATTCAAAAATAAAATTAAAAATTAAAAATTATGTAGAAAATGAAAAAAATAACATGGAAATAGAAAAATGGAAAATAAAAATTAAAAAAAAGTTAACATGTTGGTAATTGTAAAAAAGTACATAAAGTTATCCTTGTAATGTACATAGTATGTTTTTAAAAAATCATTTATATAATAAATATAAACTTTCAATATATAAAAAAAATCAAAAGTTTAATAGAAAGGATACAATCCTCTTTTTAGAGTGATAAAATCCTTAATAATCCAAAAAACGGCCAAATGTTATAAAAAAATACTGTAATTTATTTCAAACTAGTGAAAAACAATACAAAGAGTAAAAAGTCTTTTTTTGTGAAAAAGTAATTATTTTTTAAAATCAGATAAATACAAATGATTTTTTTAAAATAGAAAAATAAATATATAAAATTTGAAAATTTTAAATTTGCCGAATTGTGTTTTGTAATAAAGAATAGTAAATACAATTCATAAAATTGTAAAAAAACATAGAAAATTAATATAAAGTAAGAGTGTAAAACATATAAGAAATTGAAAAAAAAATAAATTATGAACTTGGTGAATTAATATCGTTGGAAAATACCTGATTTTTTAAATTAATTGTTATCACTATCATTCTATTAGTCTTTTGTTGACTATTGTTTATTTTTGTTGGTAATTCTGTTGTTTTTTATTGTTTATTCATGTTTCTTTTTGTTGATTATCATGAATCTAGATTTATTATTTTGGGTGCAAGTGTGTGTTGTTTTATTATTTGAAATAGTAAAAGTGAGCGGTAACATAAATAAACAAAAAAATCAGCAACAAATAAGTGCCTATCAACAAAAAGCAACAAGATACTATAAAATGCAACATCATAAAACAATACATAATAAAATAACAAAGTAACACAATGCAACAAATAAGTGCCTATCAACAAAAAGCAACAAGATACTATGAAATGCAACACCATAAAACAATACATAATAAAATAACAAAGCAACACAATGCAACAAAGTGAAACAAGATGCAACAAAATGCAACACGTTGCAACAAGATGATGCAACATGATGCAACAAAAAGAAAATAACACATCAAAACAGAATTATATATGCCCAACATACACAAATGTTCAATGATTACATAGTACAATTTATTTTTCAACTTTCATGATCGAAATTATAATTACAAGTTATACTAAAGTACAAGAAATTGATGCAGTCAACCAATAATAGTGCTATCCTCCATCCAATTGTCATTGTCTTGACAGTCTGCTGCAAAAAAACGAATAAGAGTGAAGTTATTATTACAATACGAGATTTCAGATACTATAGTCATTCCATGCTAATATTCATGATGTAAAGAGAATATGACAAAGGATCTAGATGTTAATTAAGAAGAAGATAAGAAGAAAGATGATCAAAGCAAGATACATAATTGTTTTGTTCAAGCTAGGTTCTTTTCATTAAATGTAGTTGTAGTTTAAATGGGAAGTTTCCAAAAGAGGCTAGGTGCCTAGGTCATTTCTGTGTGAACCATTTCTGCTTCATTGATTGGATAAGGCCCAGAGGACATCCGCATACGAACTCAAGCATTCAAGCTGTCAAGCAAGTCTCAGAGGACATCTATTTTTAAAATGACAGACAACTTCACTACTCTTACAGACTCATCACAACAACATGACAGACAAGTCATTACAGACAATTCAAACAAATACAGACAACTAACAAGCAAATGACAAA